TTTTTTTTTTTTTTTTTTTTTTTTTTTTTTGAGCTCTTGCTGTCTTAGGTACACTTGATGTCGTGGGTTTTCACATTTTTGTGACGTTCCTTTTGAATAAACATACCACTTTTATCTCAAGTCGAGCAAGGATCTTGAACGTGTTGTTGCCTGTTTCTCTCTCTCTCTCTCTCTCTCTCTCTCTCTCTTTTTCACACAAAAGCACACATGCACGCACACACACTCCCCCATGTTGATTCTCCGCGGATTCATTAACTGTTCGTGGAGTTGTGAATTGAAAAGCACCACCTATTTTTGGAATGTTTGCTGTAGAATATGGTATGATGGGCACACCTTTCGTCGAACGGTGTCGGTGAATGATAACCATCACTGGCTCAGTTGGCAGGTGATCTATAGCGACGAGAAATCGTTACTTGGAGAAGCAATCGATCGTGGCGTGCTGGCAATTGGATTACACTGTAGGTTGCAAGGCTGGGAGAACGAGTTTGGGGGGGCGGGGGTTCCCTTGGGAGGTCCATTCGGTAAATTACTGCATGTTTACAGGGATTTGAAGCTGTGACGAGATCATGTCGGCAGCAAAAGATCTAAAAAGCCCACCTTTGCCCAGCCCGTAGAAGGGTTCTATAATGTATCTATCTACCATGCGAAACGTCTAGTATTCGAAATGTTAGTATTCAAGACGTGTAGTATTAGACACGTGTAGTATTCGGAACGTGTAGTATGGTCAAGACGTGTAGTATTCGACAGGGTAGTATGGTGGAACTTGCGATGTTTCCAAGGAGGTGCAGGTGTAACGGAATTTGGAAGATTGAAAGAGGTTGGCAGGTGGCATGTCGGCTGAGTCCGACACCTGACCCGTCTTAACGGTTTCTCCCCTGCCTCCAGTGCGCTGTAGTTTGGAAATCCTTTCCCCCTATTAATTACTGGGGCACGAGAGTTTAGAACATAGATGGAAACATGCGTAAGGCTCGAACTCCACATCTGTGACGGTAGCTGCTCGGATCAACAGAAATGAAAATGGTAGAACAGCAAGCAGCCTTCCCGGGCAGCAATAAGATGCCCCTCCCATCATTTTGGAATCCAATTGGTCAGAGACAGATCAGGTAGATTGTGGTATAGCGAGCAATCCAATCGGGCAGAGACAGATTAATGCCTCAGGATAGTAGTCGACATACCAAGCGATACAGATTTTGCCAGTCTGATGCTCTACCCCTCTGGAGGAGATTTGTCTTAGCAGCAGTCAGTGGCTACCTTCTTCTTCGCCCGAATACAACGCACGGTTATTACAGCTGTGTATTTGGTGCATCTGTCAGTCTAGATATGGCTAGAATGACCGTGCGTTGTATTCGGGGGAAGAAGGTAGTAGTTGTGGCTTTGCTGTGCCGACAGCTCTAAAGGAAAATCTGTCTTTCATTTGATAACTCTCCTTGCGTATCGGTTATCCAGCAACGCTTGTAGGTTGCTGCTCGAACGATAAGAAGTGCCTCTGGAGTAGATCTGTCTCTGCAGCAGCAGCTGCAGTCAGTGGTTACGAGCGGTGCTGTGTAGGTAGGTGCCTCCAGGCTGCAGGCACCTACAAGTGGCGTTGGATTACCAATTCGCTCACAATCTGTGATGGAACCCAGGTGCTAGCAGGCGGGTTCGGCGGTGTCCATCAACGTGCCTCAGAGATGGTCCTGTCTCCTCAGCATGAGCTCAGGACACTTGTGTCAAACTGGTCAAGTGGCTGACAGCACACTTTGCCACGTGTATGCCAGAAACATATGTGGAAGCGTAATTATCATAACATTGCGCCAATTACGGTGTGTTTAGTCGATGGCCGTTGTGTGCGTAGAACCTCTAACGATGGCCAGCGGTTTGTTGGCGAACCTCTTGTTTGCTGTCTCTCTTGATGACTGTTGCTCGTTTCTTAACTACCGGTAGGCAGAACTGCGCTCCTGCCCTGTCTGCTGACGGGCAAGAGCGTTTGGAAGGATTTTGCCATGCGACTCTTCTGGAGGAATATACCGTGTGACGTTTGTGGAGTGCCGTTGTTGTGAAATTTGGTGCATTACGATTCCTGGTGTTGCACATTCTTATGGGGACGTACATTATGAAAATTGGATGCAAAGGTGAGTGGAAATGGCCAGCCTCGTCCTTCGGGACATCCGTTAAAATTGGAACGATACACAGAAGATTAGCATGGCCCCTGTGCAAAAAAAAAAAAGAAAAAAAAGAAAAAAAAGAAAAGAAAATGCCCAGCCAGCCAAGCTGGAGAGAGGCATGAGAGATTCTTGATCCTCGATGGTCGCCGGTTCCCCCCCTTTCTGATTCGGTGGACAGTGCAGCTTAGCCTTCGTACTTGAGAAGTCGTGGTCACTGCACCGTCTGTCCAGGGGTGATGTACCGTTGTGGATCTCCTAATGAGTTGTGGCAGTAGGTGATTACCGTCTGTCCAGGGGTGATGTACCGTTGTGGATCTCCTTAACGAGTTGTGGCAGTAGGTGATTCTCACGTCTCCCTAGGGAAGTCGTTATTCATGCGAAAGGAGGTTCTGTGGTTGTGGTGGGCCTCTGTTGCATACCGTATAGGTGCAGACCAGAACAAGAACCGACCTTTCAATACAAAGTATAAAATAGCACAGCGGAAGACTTAGATACCAATGATCCGAACAATCAATATTGCAATGCAGCCCCAAACATACATCATCATCATCATTCCATGGTGTGAAGGGGTCTGGCGCTTCACACAGGAAGACTGCGCCAGCCCCAACCATA